AGATGTCCGAGCTACACGACATCGACACCCAGTTCATGATCGGGCCGCACGTGATGGTCGCGCCGGTGCTGGAGCCCGGCACGGACCGCGCCCGCGCCCTGTTCCCCGGCGCGCAGGGCTGGTACAGTCTGGCGACGGGCCGACACATCGCCACCAACGATTGGGCCGAAGTCTTGCACAACGACACCGTCTCTATTAAGGTGAGTTTGTTCTGTAGGTATACGACAAAGGGAAGATCTTCCACCGAGCGGGTGACATTTGCTCGGTAGACCGCCGGTCCAAATGTTGTTGTTCGGAACTTGTATAAATGCGAGCTTATCTTGAAAATGTCGTAAGCGAGATTCAGGCATCTGTCAAATATCTTGCGTTGTATGATGGCTACCCGCCACAGTTCGCAGAGTCGATTGTGCTCTTGTGCGTGACGAAATGCTGTTAGATTTTAACGGTTAATAGTTACCGACCCGACGCTGCATCAGGAGTGGTGGAACTCATCGCGGGTAAACCATATCGGTACGTTTGCCCTGACGAGCTGACGGCTCTGACAGCTTACATGTTGGCAGAAGAGAGCAAGTTTATTGAATTTTTACCAGTGGTAGGACCTCTTGTGAGTCCGCGCGGGTGGGTATCACCACCCTGCCTATTTCTGCCGTGAAACAGTAATGCGTTTCGGTTTGAAGGGTGGGGCAGCCGTTGTAACTATACTTGAGACCTTAGAACTTATATTTCAAGGTGGGTGGCGTATTTACGTTGTAGATGTCTACGGGCTCCAGTAACCACTTAACACCAGGTGGGCTGTGAGCTCGTCCACTCGTCTAAGCAATAAAAAAAACGCGGTAACTAGTGATGTTGTTTATGACACCACGTTAGTTTGTACTGGTGTTACTGGATATGTATACTATACCTCTGACATCATCTCGATCGTTGTTCTCCTTTTTTTTTCTTAATATTTAATTTTCTTCGTAGCTGACTTAACGTAATAGGTGTATGGCTCTAATAAAGAATAAAAAAATGAAAATAAAATGTTCGTCAAAGTATCAGCTATTGGTGCAGTGTCAAATACTGGTGGTTTTACCCTACTGAGTGTGTGTGTGCGCGACAGGGCGGCGGCGTGGTGGTGCTGCAGGAGCCGGCGGCGCGCGGGCCCGTCAGCACCGGCTCGGCCCGCAGCGCGCCGCTGCAGCTGCTCGCGGCGCCCGACGCAGCCGCCGCCGCGCGCGGCCGCCTCTACTGGGACGACGGCGACAGCCTGCGTGAGTAGCCGCCTCCGCACCACACAGTTGCATTGCATACAGAACTAGCCTGTGGTCATATTGAGATTAAATATTGTTTGTCTTTCTTAATATTTTTTATAGTGTAGTCTTAGCGAAATTTGTGATTATAGAAGTATATAATACAATCATAATAATATACAAATTTACAATATCAATTAATTATAGTCGAATTTCGACTACTACGGGACCATTAGTTCTTCTTATTCTATATCGTTCCCTCACTACTGAGGATCGCGACCACATATGACGTCCTTCCACTGTGTTCCACTGTGTCCAGACCGCATGGTACAGACTATCACCAAGTGCTTCTCTTGCCAGATCTGACCATCTGGCTGGTGTTTTGCCCACGGCGCGCTTGCACTCTATGCGACCCGCAATTATGAGCTTCTCTAATTCATGTCTGGAAGACCGCATGATGTGTCCGAAGAAGCTCATAACACGTTCCCGGCAGATGGAAGAGAGCCTTTTTCGGACGTCTAGCTCCCTTAGAATGGACTCGTTATTTCTCATGGCAGTCCACGGTATTCGTATCATCCTCCGCCACACCCACATTTCAAAGGCATCGATCTTTTTAATAATACGATCACTTGGTGTTTTGTATCTTAACACGCTGTTTTCAAGTTTCTGTGCCATTGACATTGCCGGCGCTTAAATCTAAAGCGAATAAAAGTGATCCTGCACAAATTGCTTCAAATAATTGCTGATCACTCGGCTCTGCCCCTGGCATTGCTGACGTCCATGAGTGACGGTAACCACTTACCATCAGGTGGGCCGTATCCTCGTCTGCCTACAAGGGTAATAAAAAAAAGTCTTTAAGTCAACAATAGCATAGCATATATGAGTCGACTATTATCAAAGCCGGCAATGTGACTTTTGAACAATTATTGGTAAAACAGAAAAACGAATTGTTGACTTTGTATTCCATTGGCAGTCACAAAACTCTTCGGAACGACATCTTAGATAAATAACAGGTTAAGTATTAACCTTTATTTAATGCAGGTTTTGAACCGTATTCTTTGAAGGAGACGATTATATGCAAATCAATCTGAATTGACATATCAATAACATTTTTTTGTCCAAATGCACAGATTGCCACCTTTGATAATAGACGACTCATATGAAGAAAAAGTTTATTATATTCAGAAAGTTATTTGATACAGATTGAATATATGTAGTTGAAGTATGAGTAAGTTTTTAATATTGAAGCTTAGTTTTGTTCACAATTAAATATAATCTTACAGACACCTACGAAGAGAAGAAATACAGTTACATAGAATTTTCACTGAACGGCACTGAAATCCAATCACATGTGAAATGGTGGGGATATGGAGTTCCGCTGTTCAACCAGCTGTCAATTCTCAACCAGCCTCCCGTCAAGCAAGTTCTGATCAACGGAATGCCGTGCGTGTCTCCCTGCTCGTTCACGTACTACAAGAAGAACAAAGTGTTGTCCATTATGATTAATTTGTCATTAGAGAAACCATTCAACGTCAGATGGTCATATGATGAGAAATATTTGAACAGGACCGGGGCATCGAGAAAAAATTGAGGTATGTTCATTAAACAATCAACTTTACCGTTGTGTGAATTACATGTTATAGCCTAAGTGCTGTCAGGATGAAGTTTTGCGAATATCATTCCTGTGGTCGTATAAAACTGGAAAAACGGCAGGTTTGATAAACTTCCCATTTTACAATGTAGAAAGATATTACGGCACTGGCCGTTGGTATTCTCTTTGCAATTAAAAATGTCCATAACTGTAAATTGTGGTAAAGTAAAGAGGTTAATGATTTGGACAAAAAAAAAACTGCATGTTAATGCTAGATTTTGTAAATCAACAAATTTAATATTTCAATAAGAATTTGTATTGAATCATCTTTTAGAAAAATGTAGGTTCTTTACAAAGCATTTTTCATCCATTACACATAATGTATTGACCCTGAAAATCTCTGCCAGAATTGTGAAAAAGTATTACCACATTCATGTCTATAAAATAAGGATATTGCACCATTTGAGTTGAAGTGGCTTAATTCAAAATTCTTGTGTTTTGCTAAACACCAAAAATGTAATGGAATAATTGTATTCTTTTACTTTTTCGATTTTAATACTATAAGGTACATATTCGCTTGATTTAAAAGAGACTGAAACAGTATTTTGTCCTTTTCTAGAATGGAAGGTATTGTTTAATTATTAAACTAATAAAGTACATGTTTTTAAATCGTAGAAAGTATAAAACTAATTTACTTAAAAAAAAAATTAAGCCACTTCAATTCTAAAGGTGCGATATTTCTAATTATAGCAAAGTGATAATAAACTCTTCATCTTTTTTTTTTTTATTATACTATAAAGTATAAACTATAGTTTATTCTGTGCTGTTTTCATGTGTTCTATTAACATTGTACATTTCACGCACAATGCCCCCAAGTTAGAGTTTAATGTAGTGTAATATGTATCAGAAATTCATGAGACAAAAATTAGTACAAGCAGACAAAGCACAAATTTTCAACAAAAATTTAGTCCAACCAAGGATAAATCCGGAAAATCAGTAGTACAATTAATACGCTGAAGTTTAAATCTTCCCTTTCTATCTTCCTAATTAATCATATACTAACAGGGACACAATCATATACTAACAGCTGAAATCTGCCAATAAACACATAAAAAGTATATAAATAAGTTTTTTTTTTAACTGAATAAGAATTTATTATTCTTTTTAAGTAACGTATGTGTTTTATGTGTTGTCTAGTCTTAAGAAAATTTAGTTTAAGTGTATGGCGTAAATCGATGTTTTTGTGATTCATTGTTACCAGGGGAAAATGTGTCAAAATAATACTAAAAATTTTTATGTTTGCATAATGGAGGGTAGAGGTAAGGAGACAAAGGTTGAAAAAGTGTCCAGTTGTAAGCAGCAAATTAAACTCAAAAACCAACCAAAATGGCGCAGCAAGAAGTACGATATCAAGGTATCAGCTGTACCAAGTGAAGCGGACTGAGTTGATTAATTTTCTGTAATATAGTTTTGCGTCATTTTTTAAATACACCACTCGCTACAGTGGCGCCACCTGCTCGTGTTCGACGGACACTTTAGACGGAGTGGTGCTTACCTCTACCCTCTTTCCTGGAATTTATTTGCCCGAAAATTAGTCAAAATAACAGTACATAATGAATAAATTAAAATATTTTTTTTAGTGACGAGTCGAGCAGTTATATTCTGAGACAATTTTTTTAATATTAAAAGACGAGTGTCGGAAAAATCTGATAAATCAAAATATATATGATATATTTTTAGACAATTAAAAACAATATTCAAGTCTAAAGATTTCTAATTAAATTAAAAACAAAATCTATCAGTTTATTGGTGTTGGAAATATTGATGTTCTGTCCAATCTTTTGAAAAATTAGAATCAAGGTGGCTATTGATATGTATGGAATGTTATTATACCAATTACAAAAAAAAAATCAAAATGTTAATAAGGTATCAATTTTTATTCTGAAACTCCTCAAATTTTGTCAATTAGGGTTTTTTGGTCATTAAAGTTATCTACACTTAAATGTAATACCAAAGTTTTGTGGACCTGTATTTACCAATTGTATTTTGTATTAAAGTGCACTAATAAATATTTAATGCACTACTGTGTTTTTTTATTCTGAAATATAGTATTAAAATTTATAATGGCTTTTTTAATTTATCATTACTTATTTTTTACATACTTGTTGGATCAAGTTAAGCAAAATAAGAAGAATATTCAATTTAAAAAGAAATATTTTTAACATTTATTTGTCCCCTTAAGTATTAAAAAACAAAGATTCAACATTTGAAATAAATAGCCTCTAATTCAACTTAAATTATCCTGGTTTCTCAGCATCTGTTTTCAAAAATTTCTTGTACTCTTCTTCAGTCATGAGATCATTTATCTCGCTTTGCTTAATTATTTTCAATCTAAACAACCATCCTTTGTCATAACAAGATGTATTTATTAGTGCTGGTTTGTCTTCTACATCTTTATTTTTCTCCGTAACAGTACCAGATAATGGAGAATAGATTTCACTAGCAGCTTTCACACTTTCTAAGGCACCGCACTCATCACCAGCTTTAAGGTCTGTTCCGGGGTCTGGCAGCTGTGCAAAAACAACATCACCAAGAGATTCTTGGGCATATTCGCTAACCCCAACTGTACCTATATCTTTGTCTATTGTAACCCATTCATGTCTATCAGTATATTTCCTTGATGATCCAGCTGTGCTGTACTTCAGGCATAACATACAGTATGTTTGTCTGATGTTTGACTGTAAATGATGCCTTAATTTGTAAGTTTTCACTATTTGTACTAAGCATCTCTGTATTGCCATTTTATCTGAAAGATGTAAATAAAATTTTTAGTTACCAGGTCATAAAATCACTTAAAAAAAAATTGAAATAAAATACTTTTAGTGTAGTACTAGTAGTTTAATGACATAAGTAAAAATATAATAAAACTCAATTATTACAAAAATTAATACGAAAAGACAATGCAACAATCTTCAGACAAAACATATATGAAGCTAATAAAACACTCAAAGTAACCATTTTAGATAATGTAGGATGTAGGATGAGAAATGATTTTATTTATCAATACAATTATTAATATGACTGAAAGTATGTTAGTAGCATGTAATCAGTATGTATTATGTACTGATATAATAGCCAAATGACATAGGAAACCATGATTATTATGATAAAACAAATTATAGGATAAACATGTCATTGCAAATTTCATATTTTAAATTAATTTCATAAATTTGCTTCAATCCTGCACTGGATTTGCAGGTAGATGTGATTTTGTTTTGTTTGATATATCCATTTAGTACAAGAAAATTGAGATTTCGATTCAAAATAAAATGACAGTTTTCTTGCTGAGCTCTCATTAACCATTAAAATTCTTAGTAACCATAAAATCATGTATAGATGATAAAGTGTAATAAAGCCTTAATTGAGACTGAAAATATATTCCACTAACTTCTAATCTGGTACTATCTACATTTGCGGTAGGCAGCGGCTTGGCTCTGCCCCTGGCATTGCTGAAGTCCATGGGCAACGGTAACCACTCACCATCAGGTGGGCCGTATGCTCGTCTGCCTACAAGGGCAACAAAAAAAAAAGAAAAAAAATTCTTAAAAACTACAATTGAGAAATTCTACGTTTTGATAAATCGAGAGCGATTTTGATCTGTATTTGTTGACTCTTAACTAAGATGAAAATATAGTTTTTTATGAGAAAAAATTAAAACAAAAATAATTATTAAACTCACTGTCAGTATTTTTTGTAGATCACAAATCTAATACTTTGGTATCTAAATGTAATCTGGAATTTTAGGTGTGCTTCGAATATATTAAGTGTATATCTATGGGTGTGCTTTTTATTAGAATAAAAAATTAAAGCAATTCAAATAAAATGAGGTTATCTTTATTATTCCTTTTGAAATTTGACATTTGTCAGCTGCTTATTTTTTTTAAAGGATCTTATTTATGACCTGGTAACTAAGACTCTTAAGTCATGTTTCATTTTAATTTAAATTCTTAATTTTATGAAAAATGATAATGTGGAGTGAAATGAAAAATGTCACTGCTTAGTTCTGAGGGTTGTACAGTTTCATCTCGGTGGTAGAAAGCACTGCTTGTGTTCGGGTAAATGTCAATTTTTTGCCTAAAGTTATACCTCACGGCTGGTGTTAAGTAGTTACCGCAGCCCATAGACACCAACAACATAAATGGCCCCACTCATCTCGAAACGTCAATTGTAAGTCTCTTTAATATAACGACTGACCCGCCCTTCCCAACTAACAGCATTTCTTAGTGCTTCTTCATTAAATGCCAAAATTGTGCATAGGAAGAACCTGTTTAATAATATTGTGTGTAAAACATTTTAGTTTTGGAAAACGCACAATTATTTTTATTGGCTTTTAAAGCAACGAGCCACCTGACGGCGGGGTCCAAGTGTTGGCAAGTGGTCACTATCTATCGTGGACATTAGTAAAATTAGCAGCTCAGTCAAGCCGCTGTCCACTGCTAACAAATATTTTAACGGTTTCAATAATAAAATATTTTTCTGTTCAGTAGTAAGCAGGTACACTGGTTATACCTAGTGTTATGTGATGACTTCATTAAGATCATGTTCATTTGTTACTGAAACCCTTGGGTATTCAGACTTCGGTCATTTAGTTTTTATTACAGACTGACCTTTTTTAAGTTTTTTAGGTAAAAAAGTAAGTCCTTATTTTTATTCACCACCATGTAGGACATTTAATAAAACCATCAAGATAAATTATATTATATTTTGAAATGTAATCGGATTTGGAACTATTTTTTTATTTTTCGGAATTAGTCAGGCATCCCCATTTAAATCTTTAACGTGACAAACGTCAAGGCCGTCAATCTAAATAAACGTCAGTGACGAGACGACTTGTATTTCGCGAACCATGACTGAAAGATGTCAAAATAAGTTTGTAGAAAATTTTGTGAATCAAAATTATATTATTTGCTTCGGAATTACTAGTGCCTCTTTTGCTGTTATTTATTATTACAGGTCTATAACGTAATACCCATTTTGTAAGTGAACTATCACATTCGAATAGTTTTTAACCCAGTTTTTTGTTTACAGATTTCACTTCGTAACTTTTGCGTTTAGTTATGTGTTGGGATGTGTGGCTTGTTATTATGGACTTAATTCGAATGTTCTGCACAATTATTTGTGTAAATTACAGTGCCATTTCTTTAGAGAAACACCGGAAGTTGTAGAGATCGAAGAAGTCAAGGTACTTGCAATGTTTACTTTGTTTGTTTATTTATATGAATACATTTATATGCTGTAGTTGTCTGTTACTGTGTGCTTTTATCAAAGTATTTAATATGTTTTACACAAGGGGGAAGAAAAAAGTTGAATTAATTACAAGTTTAACAAAAAACGAAGTACACATTTGTAATATTCAGATCTGTATGTTAGAAATCCAGTTTTGAATTTTATCTTCCACGAACTACTTTATTTTAATATTTTTACATAATGGATGTAATTAATGCCTTAAATTCAATGATCGAGGTTAATTTGTTAAATTTTTAATAACATTATTGAAATTCCACATTTTTAAATTGTTAGAGATTAATGCCAACAGTTCTGAAATGGTAAATTGAACAGTATTGTGTAAAAGTAAGCACAAATAAGATAATCATTACGACATAGTAGTTGCAAACATATGGTGGTAATTAATAGCATTACTTAATTAAATTTAAAAAGTTAAAAAGATGAATCAAATTTATTCAGATCTTTGTTTTAACATATTAAAAGAGAAAATATGTATTGTATTTGACAAAATTTTAAAATTTGCTTCAATTTTCAAAAGGCTTGTGTTACATGTGGATCAAAGAAATGTAACAGACATGATGACAGCATTACTACTGAGCCCTGGGTCGGGTTGCAGATACATAAACAGCTTGATCAAGCCATTGAAGATGTAAGTTTGTAGTTTCTGTATAATTTGCATTGGTAACACTTGTTTAACAAATTTAAAGGTAAAACTGTAGCCATTACCGCATTAAGCATTATCTGTTATGTGCCAGCATGTTGTTCATACTTCCTGCAGAATGGTATCAAAAAGTAGAGTGCCACCTATATCTTCCTTGCAAACTAAACTTAGAACTGAACTGACTTTGAATGTTTATTGGACATTGGGTGGTCTCTCTGTGTATATCAAAATATTGCTTAGAACTTATGCTGCATAACAGCAGCATGTCTGCAAACACCTTTTTTGTAACAATATTGAGAGATATTTCTTTTTCTGTTATACCTTACCTAGTCTAATTGCAAGGGAAAATAATTTAATGCGTGTCATAGTTAGAAATAGTATTTTGCAAAATGTTTATCATAACAAACACACACTTGTTAACATAATTTAGGAATGTAGTCTGTGTTTGAGAGAAATAACTTTTAGAATTTTGAATTTCATTAACCAGTAAGTAAATAGTATGGATGAGTCAGGTATTTGAGATATGATTAAATGAATATGAGTTTGTTCTGTAAAATAATTTGTCAGATATATTATCTTAATTAAGTTTAAAAAAAAAGAAAACTCATGTAGAGTAGCAAAATATATAAAAAATCTGAGGAACAAAAGAGTCTGAACATTGAACTCAGCAACCTCTATCTATATAATGACCCAATTAACTATTTGTATTACTAAGTGTGTAGTAAAATTGCTTTAAAAACAACTAATGAAGCTGACAGCATAAATAAAGCATATACATTAGATAAGACAAGGGCTTGTCCTTGCTATGGTTTGATGTCTTCAATCTATATAAATAAATGTATGTATGTGTATAAATGTATGGTACTGTTGGTGTTTAAGGAAAGGTTTCTGTCACAGTACAATCAATGCTTGGTAGGTAGAACATGAGTAGCTTCAAGAAAGCATTGTATTGCAAAGAAATAAAAATATCAAGTCTTATGGTAATTTGTATTTTCAGCATACATTACAAAATATCTAGTTTAGGGCTTTTGAATATTTATTGTTATTGCAAAAATCTCTTTCATGCTCTTTGTTGGCTCTATATAGTTCTCCTATTTAAACAATATTTTAAAAGATTGTGTAGTCAATAAGCTATGGTATAGTTGATATACATTTATAATACATTAAAAGTTAGTCTGTTAGGTTGTTTCCAAAATTGATCTGAATGTTTACTGCAATTGCTTACTCTTTTAAAAAAAAAAGACTACGAGTATGTTGGTATATTAAGTAGAGGTAATCGATTTAGCACACTTAGTATAGGTGAAGAGAATGTTGGTACATTGACAAATTTAACAGATTGATGCTTATTTTCTGTTTCATCAGAGTGAAGTTTATCGTTTATAATAATTATAACCAAACCTATATCCATGATATGACTGAGGATGTCTGTTGAATGGCTTATTTTTAGTTTTTGGCTTATTTTTAGTTTTACAACACAATATTGGACCAATTCGTCAATTCATGGTATAGCAAGATCACACTGCAGCCATTCTTCGTGGATGAACTAAAGTATCAATTAAGATATGCTTCCGCCTGCCTCTTACAACGAGCTATTAAGGTAATTGAAAAATTGTAACTCACATTATATTTTTTTTTATTATTGAACGATATGAAAACCACAGAAATAGGACTTATCAGTGGGCGTGGTCGATTTATTTTGTGTGTAAATAATATTGAATTTTAAAAAACTTCAACAAAAATCCAATCATTGCTCAGAATCGTGTGTCACAATAGAAGTCATTCTATTGTGTGCACACGTTTTGATTCGTAGAATTAGCTAAACGTTATCGTATCGTTATAAATAATAGTTGTATAAATATATATCACTAATATTTTCAAATGTAAATAAAATGCATTTAGTTTGACTCGAAATTCACTACATTAAAAAATTTTTGAATAGAGATAAGTGCATGTCAATTGCAATAAAAAAGGAATAATCTTGTTATATATAATAATCAATGTTATATAATACTGATTTTGAATATTATTTTATTGAAATGTTAATAATATTCCATTTTGTGGAGGCCCGTCGCGGCGAGATTGTCTAATTACATTCACTTTTATTTTAACAGCCGTAAATAATTCGTACTCACATTTAGATTGTCGAGCTGTTAACCCATGGTCACGATCATTGTGAATCTATTGTTCCCCTTTATATGAGATGATTTGTGAGAAATAGTACAAGATCAAAGCGTGCGTTTAAAATGTTTTTTTTTGTTTGTAATTTTAAAAGATTTAAATAAAAAAATTGTGTCTGGAATGTTTACATTTAGGAATATTTACGTGGCGGCATTTACATTGTGGATGTCTATTGGCTCCGGTAACCACTTAACACCAAGTGGGCCGTGAGCTCGTCCACACACCTAAGCAAAAAATAATAACATACTATTTGAGGTTACGTTTTCTGTTCGTAGTAGTTGCACAGATGGGTGATGTGTTTCTTCTTTTTTTTGGTGGTGTACCATGAATTACGCAATTTTAATGCGAGCTTGATTTTTATAACGATATGCTATGCTGGCACAGTGGAAGTCGTTCATGTACTTGTTAGTTTAGGTTTGTAATTCCTAAGAAAAAGTAATATCGGCGTGCTGGTTTTGAACACTGAAATCGTTGTGGTTCTTTTCTTTTTTGCTAACTTTTTTTTTTAACGGTGTGGAATCCTTTTGCGAATACACGGTTGAGGGGGATAACGGACCTGGTTATTTGAGACTCCGGTGCCTCCAGAGAGGAATAGAGAGAAGAGTATTTTTTGCCTACCTGTGCTAGTAATCTCGTGGAGTTCTAGTCTACCGATGGTTTTTTTTTATTGCTTAGATGTTTGGACGAGCTCACAGGCCACCTGCTGTTGAGTGGTTACCTAGTTACAACGGCTGCCTCACCCTTCAGACCGAAACGCATTACTGCT